CTTCCGATGACTCAATATAAAACTTTAAACAAACAAAAAATCTGCAAGGAGATATGTCAAAATAGGAACTAAAGGTACTTATACCAGCTAGTGGGATTATAGGTAATATTTATTTATATCTTCTTTACTTTGCATATTTAACATGATCCTATAATTTACAAATAATTACATGCATGATTAGGAAAAAGCCCCAGAAATTAATTTCAAGACTCTTGACTAGCATGTCCCAGTTTCACCTGGTGTTGACACTGCCGTCGTCGTTTTCATCACCATTTGATTGAGCCTCTCTGGGCGGCAGCGGCAGTAGGGTACACAGACCTCTGAGGCTCCAGCAGCCAACCAAGAGCCGCCTGAAAGCCACCTGGGCGTAAGCAGACCCTACTGTTCTTACCTTGGTGTTCTGTAGCAGGGCGAGTCCATTGCAGGCATTTGCTAGAAGAAAGTCTCCGCTCAGGATAGCGATTTTATTTCCAAATTCCATGTCCTTCAGTGGTCCGTCAGAAGATTGCAATTCATTTAAATTTACTATCCCACGATGCACAAGGAGAGCAGTGTGGATAAGCTCTGTGATCTCTGCCAAGTTTCTTTGACTAAAACATAAAAGTAAGATTTGTCTGAGTGTCAAGAATGCCATTTTATCTCTAATGTCAGACTTTAGTTCTCAGTGATAAAAATTTTCATGAATTATTCCTTTTTTGGATTATTTCTTATTAATGTAGTTTTTTAAAAAGAATTATTTTATCGAACTTCATTATTTATTTAAATTTTATCAGAGAGGGAGGGAGAGAAAGAGAGAAGGGAGGGAGTGAGAAAGCAAGCTGCCAGGTCTGGGACTCAAACCATGGTCAGCTATGTGGGAGTCCACCACACCACCTGCCAGATCCTTAATGCGGTTTTTAACAGATGCCTCTCCATCAAGTTATTTGGGATTGATTAGCTGACTTGACACCTTTTCTGTATCACTCATACTCTCTACTCCAGAGGTCCTCAACCCTGGGCCGCAGACCAGTGCCATTCTGGCCTGCTGGGGTCCGGCCTACAGACCAGTACTGGTCTGCTGGACATAGAGCAGGGATGGATGGTGGGCAAGCAAGGTCTCATCGGTGTTTGCAGTCACTCCCCATTGCTCTTATTGCCTCCTGGGCTCCACTTCCTGTCTGATCAGCAGCAGTACTAGATTCTCAGGGGGCACAATCACACACAGTGTTGTGTGACTGTTTCATTCTATACTGCCATGTGGTAGTGGTGGAAATGAGGTGTACGGTGAATGTGGTGAGCTTGGGGCATGCCAGGACCAATCCCCAAACCCCCGACCCTCCCTTCCCATCTGTGACCAGCCTTCCCCAAGGCTGGTCCCTGGTGCCGGGAAGGTTGGGGACTGCAGGTTTACTCCATGAGTCGCTAGGCTACCCCAGAGAGAAGCTGGCCAGTGGAGGGCCATCCTCTACAGTTCCATTTAGACACTTTGCCTCAGTTTCCTTATAGTATGTAATAACACTTCAACTTAAATGGGAATATAATCTGTGTTAGACATTAGATGAAAGACTTTACACACACACACACACACACACACACACACACACACACACACACCCTTCTTTTAATCTGAAATACAGGACTATGGGATTTACAGAGATGAATAAAATGAGGTCTCGTCATTCAGGGACCCTGACCTTTCAGTTAGAACAAAGACACATACCTAGAGTAGCAAACAGGATAGAGGAAAGCCTTGGAGAAACTTATAGTACTATATTGATAGGATTTCAGGAGATATTCCATTTCTTTTCTATATTTTCTGTAAGTTTGTACCTTTTGTACAATGCTAAGTATTACTTTACATTCAGAAAAAAGTCAACAGGAATTATTAAAAATGTAATCTGTATTTCCATTCTGTAATAGGTATGAAGGATCAAAAGTTTGTTCAAGAATGGGATTTATCTGTTTATTTTCATGCAAAAAGTTTTGAAATCCATGCATAGCTTTTTCATAATACACATTTGCCATGAGCTTTTTTATTATTTTATTATTATTTTTTTTTTTAGAGAGGGATTTTTTTTCTACTACAGGGCACATGCACTTGCTTAAGAAACAGAGACCGAAAGTGAAAAATCACCCCCTAAAGGGTATGGCCACGCAGCAATCCCTTCTCCTCCATTCTCTTCTCAAGATTTTGGGCATGCACACACATGCACCCAGTGTGTTTTAAGCCACCAGGTCCAGGGTTTGAACCATGGTCAACTATGTGGGAGTTCAGCAACATAACCCTTAAGCCATCTGCTGATCCCTGCCATGAGAAAGCCCTTCCTATTATTAACCCCTTTCAAAAGAGAGAAAATTGCACACAAACGAAATGGCTTTCCCAAGGACACACAGTGATGCAGAGCTGGAAATCAGCTGGACTCTAACTGTACAAATGCCTACGTGGGAATCACGTCTCTTGGTTTCTATGCTCCTCTGTAATACCCTCCAGATTAACTCTGGGCTTGCTCACGTGACTTGCTTTGGCCTACAGGACATCAAAAGACAAAAACACTGGCTAAATTTGATAAGTGCTTCTACAGTTGACAAGCTTAAGGCAATCTCACAAGCTGTAAGACCCTAGGCGGAAGGGAGCCCTTCTCAATTCCCAGAATGGTAAAAATAACAATTGTTTCAAGTTACTAGATTCTAGAGTTGTTTGCTATGTAGCAGTAGATATCTGTTACATAAACTGATACATCTAGGAGTAGGGGAAGGTGCTGTGGCAACAAAAGTGTAAAATATGTGTCAGTGGCTTTAGGTCTGAACAGGGGTTGCTGGCAACAATGGCTGAAGAAACTGCAAACTCTAAATGGAAGCTGGAAAAGCAGTGAAGGCATTATTATTGGAGGATGGAGAAAGGACATATTGTGTCATAAGGTGCGAAACAACTGGAAAAACCATTGCCTGCAGTCACTTGAAAGATACAAAATATACCTAGCAAACTTAAGAACTGGGTAAAGAGGTTTCCAGGCAGAAGAATGAAAATGCCTATCGACTCCTTTTAACTGCATATAGGATAGAAGACAGAGGACTAAGGAGATAGTTGTTCAATTTGGAAGCTCGATTTAGAGGAATAACAACAACAACAAAAAAAACAAAGAGTGGCTAGACTGAAAATGAAACTGTTTCATATTTCTTGTAGCTCCACAAAAGATTTTCAAAGTAAGAAATGGTATTTGGAAAAAGATCAAAGATATGGATATGAGATACATTACCAAGACCTGAAAATTGAAGGTGGGTCCTAGTAGACCTCTCAGCTAGATAAAAAGGCTTATATGGGGCCACCTAGTGGTGGTTAAGGCAGATCCCACATGGCTGACTGCATGGTTCGAGTCCTGGATTCAGTGGCTTGAAAAACACCCTGGACATGTGTGCACGTCTACCCAACATTCTAAAGAGGAGAATGGAGAAAAAAGAATTGTGATGTGACCATCCCTCCCAGGGTGTACTTTTCCTCTCTCTCCCTGTTAAGTACAAGTGCTCTCTCGTAAAAATTAAGAAGAGAGAGAGGTGGGGTATCATAAACTTTAAGAGCATTGTCCCACAGCACCCTCACTGCTATGGTTTGAATGTTTCCCTCCCAAAATCATAAGCTGGAATTTAGTTGTATTGTGAAGATATTAAGAAAGAGACTTGATTTGATTATAGCGTTGAAAGTGATTAGGCATCAGGGTGGGGCCCATGACAGAGTCCTGGTAAATTTATAAGGAGAGGGAGGAAGACAAGAGACATGCTCTATGTACACCCCTCATATCCATGCCACACGGAACGCGTTCTTGACTGACTCTGAGTTATCATATGACTTTGTTGGCCAACAGGACATCAGCAAATGTGGGACAAATAATCTTGATAAGTATTTTTGCTTAGGGGCTTGCCTTCTTGGAAGACTGCCCTGAGATGGCATGTTGAGAAATCTGGGCTGGTCTCCTTGAGGATGAAAGAGGACATGGAGGGAGGCCCAGGCTCAGCTGTCCCAGCCAAGCCCAGCCTCTGGCTGATCCACTGGGCAGATGTTATATGAACTCTGGAGAAACGGGCAGAGGAACAGCCCAGCCAAACCACAGAATTATAAGAAATAAATTGGTTATTGTTCTAAGCAACTGAAGTTTGCAGTGCTTTCTTATACAACAGATAACTAATAGAGATTTCAAAACCCAATCTACTTTGGCTATTGAATAGATTAGGCTGCCTCCCAGATGTGCCAGTGGAGAGATTTTTAAAAGTTCCCTTAAAGAAGTTAAATTTGAGCTGGGCTTTGAAAGATAAAAAGAATTTCCATCACTGGGAAAAAAGGAATTAAGGACCCAAGAAAAAGGAAGGCCAAGAATCAAGGCTTAGAGGTGAGAGTAAAACCATGGTGAGAAGGTGAGGAGGTCAGTTTGGTCAGAGGATAGGGTCTATGTGGGTAAGTGAGGTCTAGGCTATAGCAGGTCAAAGGGTCTGTATTTTATTACACAGACAAGGTTTTGGAGAAGAAGAAATGAAATATATATATATATTCTTTTCTTTCTTTCTCCTGAAACAGCTTTTTTTTTTTTTTTTTTTTTTTTTTTTTAGAGGTTTTTGCTATAGGGCTCGTGCGCTCGCTGGAAAGGCAGAGAGACAGAAAGAGTGAAATCATCCACCCCCTGGGAAGGTGGCCATGCCTTAATCCCTTCTCCATTCTCCTCTTGGGATCTTGGGTATGTACACACATGAGCCTGGCGTGAGTTTAAGCTGCTCGGTCCAGGACTTGAACTGCCGTCGACAACATGGGAGTTCAGCAACATAGCCATTACACCATCTGCTGGTTCCTGAAATATATATTTTTTTCTTTCTTTTAAAATTTATTTAACTTTATTTATTTGAATTTGACCTGAGAGGGAATGATTGAGAGAGCGAGAGCGAGTGAGAGAGAGAGAAAAAATGAGAAACCAAGCCACTAGGTCCCGGATTGTGGTCCACCATGTGAGATTGTCCAGGACCCTTAACCACTGCTCCCTACACCCCAAAATATATTTTTAATGACTTCAGAATAAGTAGGTAGAAAGATGGAGGGGGATTATTTTTGTAATACTCTAAGGGAGGTAAAACAAAAGGGCTTGACCTAGGTTGGCAGCCTTATAAACAGAGAGGATTAAATACAAAATAATCAAATAATAAACACATAGACCTCTGAAAAAATATGATACTATTTTACACAAATAATAATCACATGAAGATACAATGAAATAAAATAAAAGAGTCAAACAACTTAGTATTGCCAAAAGGAAAATCACATTTCTAATTTATTTATTTTGTTAAAAAAATTAAAAGACTATGTAAAGATGATCCAGTGGACATATTGTAGTTGATTACAAACTGGGGGACTAGGACAGGAGATGAGCCAGTGAGTAAAACACCCTCTAGGAAAAGAAGAAATCCATGGTCTTGATTAATATCTCATCACAGCCCAGGAAAAAAATCACAGAGAATGGAGGCTTTTTTTTTTTTTTAAGAGGTTTTTGCTGTAGGGCACGTGCATTTGCCAGAAAGACAGAGAGAGACAGAAAGCGAGAGAAATCACCGCCCCCCGGGGGATGACCACACT